CTGTTCCCTTTCTTACCGAAGTAGTTCTCTTTCTCTCTCATTAGCTTAAAATTCTTTCTCAATAGCTGCAGCTTTTGCATCCTTTCTAGCCTTATCAGCCTCAAATTTAGCCATTTCCTAGGCCAAACTCAATTCACCTTGGCTTGCAAGTTCTTCCATATACTTTGCATAATCATTCTTGGAAGCATTACCTTTTCTCTTTGAAGCCTTCTTACCTTGTTGAGGTCTAAATGGAAAATGGGTCGACCTTGACGCTTGTTCCATGAGGGGCGTTTCGGGCACTTCTTCTGCATCATCTTCGTCATCATCATACGAGGCATGATCAGGCATAGAGTGTAGATGGGTGTTGTTAAAGGCCACTTCTGGACCGATAGACACAACTTTGAATTGAGGACAATCTTTGACAATATTCCAACACTCCCATCCGTTGAAAGATTTGTTTTTACTTGTGGTCTTGGCATTATACCAAGCTTGTGCTTGAAGGTCCTACACAATGCGGGAGAAGAAATAATTATAATAAAGTAGGTAATTTAAATTTGGGTATAGTACAAACAAGTAAAAAATATATCGTTACCTAATCCGCTAAACTTTCCCCACTTCGAAGATTAGCACTAGCTTGTGCCAAGGCGTCTCTCCACGTACTAAATGATTTGCTCAGTAGTCTCCAACGATTGGACAAAGATTCTTTGGTTCTTTTCCTAGCAATTTTCTCAAGATAATTGGTATGAATAAGACCCCACATTTCCCTCAACTGCATCTCATTACCCGAAATCGGATCATAAGTAACTTCAACCCAACTAGTACACAACGTAACCAACTAGTACACAACGTAACATCTTCAATAAGCGTCCAATTCATACCTGCATCATCAATCATTTTCTTGGAAAAAAATTGGATTGAAACTTTGAGAGAAAGATAGGTATTTAAGAAAGTATGAAATTGGATTGAAACTTGACAATATATGAAATTAGATTTATAGAAAAGTAAATATATAAAAGTAAGAAATTGAATTCAAACTTGACAATATATGTTGAATTTATAGAAAAGTAAATATATTAAACTATGAAATTGGATTCAAACTTGACAATATATGAAATTGGATTGAAACTTGACAATATATGAAATTGTGGTGTAAGGTAGAAGATAATGAGAAGGTATTTATACAAAAGTAAAATTAATTTTTTTTTTAATTTTTAAATTTTTTTTTTCGGATTTTTAATAATTATTTACATTTTTTAAAATTGTTTATTCACCTAATTAATCTATACCTTTGGATTTAAACCAATTTGAATTCCAACACTCCAGATTATGCCACGCGGCACAATGGTAACATTTAAGATTTTTTAACTTTTTTTTCTTTTTCTTTTTTCGTAATTTTTAAAGTCTAATAACGTGAACCGTTGATCTCAGATCTAACGGCTGGTATTAAATGAAGTTTTTTTCTTTTTTTTATTGTTGGAAATCCAACGATCCCAAATTTATATCCGTTGTAATCCAACAGCCATGGGGAAGCCATGTGGCTCCTCAATGGTAAGATTTTTGAGTGCATCGTGGGCCCCAATTTCTAATTTTATGTCGGATTACGCGCGTCCATGCCCCTGATATAAAAAATAAAAAAAGAGCGGCTGACGTCAGCCCACATCAGATGGCCATCGGGCGCTCGGGCCAGCACGAATCCATGGCCCGCTTGCTCGGGCCTGCTCCGACTTCATCGCCAGCTTCCACTGGACTTCCTTCCTCGAGCAATAACCCACTGTTCCTCAGCCCGTCCCTCCAGCAACTCCTCCCGCTGGAGCTGCTCTTATAGAAACCAGGTCGAGTGACCCAACTGTGACTCACAAGATGACCACCACTTGGACAAAAATTCTAGCTTATTTTTTGCTCAATTCCGACTGTGACGGAATCTGTCTCTACCACCACCGCACAAACCCTCTTATTCTCTTAAACAAGACCCACCCAAATTTCTTCCCATTTGGTCATGATTTCACAACAATATGTGCTCGTTATTTTCTCAGATTTTCGCCTTCAACAATCGTCCTCCTTTGTGCAACCCGACACTAGCCCCTGCCACCACCAATAAACTCATCACAACCCGAGTAACAAGACCCATCTAGGTTTCAGGCCATTCAAGCTTTGGAGATGGCAAATTGAGGTACGAAGTTCCTTGATTTTTCCTACATCCCTTTACCATTTTCAAGCATTTAACGACGGAACTGGCCTTTATGATAGGTATGAAAAATACTCTATTCCTCACGATCTTATAAGAAATACTCTATTTCTCACGATCTTATGAGAAATACTTTATTCCTCACGATCTTCACGCTAGTAAATTTTGAGCCATTTTGATGATTGCCAAAAAATTTTGGTGAGTGGAGACAGCCAGCTGCCATATGCGGCAGCGTGTGAGCAATACTTGACTTTATCTTTCTAAACCAATTATGATGCCTTGAATCTATTTTCGACGTCCGTTTGATGTGATTTTGTTATTTGAGTTTAGTTTTGTAATGGTCCAACACTAAGCGTTTGTGGTAGACGAAGATACGGATGTTGGATTGTTTTGATTTTAGTATGTTGTTGTGCTTATTTTTTGAGGATTTTAGGAATTTACAGATCGGAAATCCAATGCTTGGATTTTCCGAATTAGAATATTAGAGTGTATAACCTAGGCAAGAACCACTTGGTTTAGGTATGACTTTTGGTTAACATGTTCTGAATCCTTCTTACATGTTGATTAGAGTTATTAGAGACCCGATAAAGCCTAGAAGGCCTAACTTGGTTTGTGTGTCACCTCAAGAATTGTGCACCTCAACTTGTGTGCAAAGGACACTTTACTAAGATTTACATGGTTTGACTTCTAGATATTAGTAATGATAATGTGTGATTGCTAGTATGAGTAACTGAGTCGGGATTCATACTAGACTTGCAATGTAGAACTTGTAAGTCTATATGATTAGATATTTGGTTATCATTTGGAATTGATACTAGTGTATGTGTTCTAATGCATATCATGGGTGTTGATGTAGGATGTATGATGTATGATAATGTGATTGCACCATGTAGTAGTGTGGTCATATACAGTCATACTTGGTATATATGTGATGAGAGACCATATTATTTTAGGGGTGATCATGATTGGTATATATGCAATGAGTGATCACTGCCTACACAATTAGACTATGGATATTGTTTTACTTGGTATATTTGTCACAGGGGACCATACCTATCTGGGAGTGATCATGCTTAGTATATCAGCGATGGGTGATCATACCTAGTATTTTAGGATACGGTCACACTTGGTATATCCACGATGGGGGACCATACACATTTTAGGGGTGATCATGCTTGCTATATCGGTGATGGATGATAATTGCCTACATTATTTGACTATGCCTATAGTTGTTCTTGGTAAATCCACGATGGCAACCACTTCCTAGTTGGATTTCATTGATTTGGCCCAAAATCCCATTTCATGTTCGGTTCCGTTGAGTTAGTTCGAAATCCTAGATTCTTGTAAATAGAAGTTCTCAAGTTTACGTTTGTTGTTGTAACTTAGAGTTAGAATGCTTGATGTTTGGATTTTAGTAGAAAAATATGGTAAACCTTATAAAGGTTGACTTTATTAAAAATTAGATCTTGTTGGTTAATCAATGTAGTTGAATGTTAATATTGCGCAGCTTGGATTAATGGAATCGATTACTGTGATTGTGGAGTTGTATTGGAAAACATGTGATATGTGTGAATGACGAAATGACAATCTTGGTTGGCATATAGTTTCATTATGTAGACTGGAATTTAGTGATTCATGCTACTCAAGTTTCATTAAGTGATTCTGGAGCTCTATATCTTTCTGCTAGAAAAATACTATAGAAATGTCAGAGTTTATCAAATAGTGAACTACGAATGGCTTGAACCTATCTTATGGTATGTAGGGAGTTTAACACAGAGGTTAGATGCATCCAAGAAATATATAAAAAGTTTACTATGTTATTGAACCATTGGATTGGTTTTAGTCATCATGACTCGTAAATAGGGCATGATAGATGAACAAGTATTTTTTGACGTCATGTGTTGATCTTGGATGTATTTCAGTATGGGGTGTGAATGGGTCACGATCCGAGTCGACTGTTCACTTCCTAGAATGAGATTGGTTTGCTTTCCCAAATTATTGGGCTTGCTATTTGTAGAAGTCCAATTTACTATTTGGACCCGCCTTACATTGCTCGTAATTTTTTTCATTATAACTCTGTTTCGCAAACGGTTTTCGCTTACACTCTTGTGGAATTGAGTTTTATTCGAAAACACTAAGTATGACCCCAAAGGTCCACGGATTTTAATTGACTGTTTATGAAAATTCAAGCTTTTTAACTAAGTAACTAAACCTCTAAATTAACGAAACTAAAAAATTACAATAAAATTGGTCAAATACGAAATACTTAATTAAATAGTGAAATTAGGGGACAGAATTTCACACATGATCTCCTTGTAACATAAGGTTTAACGGTTTTATTGATGTATGTAATCTTATGGTTTCTGATGAGCTCAGCAACGAGTGCTTGAAGTCTACTCATTATTTTGCGATTAGTAATGTTTTATTGTAATATTTTTAGATCAAGCTTGCAAGAACTATTTTGGGGGTAATTCTTTATGATATTTATTTGTAATATTTTTTTTAATAAATAAAATATCGTACTCTTTTTTTATTTTTTATTTTTTAAGCCTCTCCTGCTTTTTTTGAAACTGATGATAAATAGGATGGTGAGCATTACCATTTAATATTTATAAACCACCATGAGGTGGCTTTAGTGGTTGAGGATGAATTCCAAACCCGTTGTTCACACGTCATGTCCTGAATTCGATTTCTAACTCTAGTAAATCATGCAATGGTAATTAAGAGAATTTAAAATGACTTTATGAGTCTTCCTGATCCGTGAAAGACTAAACGGACGTGATGAAGTTACCAAAAAAAATCACCATTTACAATATTCCCGTTCGCTTGTTGTTTCTTTGGAATTAGTGTTGACATTAGATCCGGTCATTCTCCACTGAAGTGTGGAAGGCGCAAACACACACACTCTCTCTTCCTCTCAGTCCGACAGAGAACTGCTTTGCCATCTACGAGCCCTGCCTTTTACTTCCCCGCTCAACATTTTGACAACTGCCTGCCTGCTTCTCAGGTACTCTCCTCTTCTTCTTCCTCCGTAATTTCTCCAGTAAGTTTACTTTTAGTAATTAATCAGTAATTTCCCATTCTTGTTGCCTATGGGTGTTGAATTGCCTCCTTTTTGCTCACAATTTACTATTTTGGAAATGGGTTTTGCTTGTGAATGAATAAGATTGAATTTGGGGGTGTTAAGTAATTTAAGTCTATCCCCTTTATTTGTTTATTCAAATCTTTGTGATTGATGGAGTGTTATAGGGTTTGCTTGTGGGTTTACTTCGTTATCCAGTTAGAATTTGAATGCTAACTTGCAAATTTGGTATTAATTTTCCACCAAGTTTCTGGTGATGGATTTAGTTTCTTTCAGTCAAGTTTGCTGCTTTTCTACGAGGAAGAAAATGGGTTACTTTTTAATTTGAATTCCCCTTTTCGTTTGTGTTTTGAAATTAGTGTCTTTGGTGTATGCATATTGTGTTTTGTGTCAAAGTATTTCGAAAAGTAGATGAAATTCTAAAAATTGGTTTTGGCTTAATCGCGCATTCGGAATATAAATTGGGCACACAAGTGATCTGTTTCGACAATTTTTTCTTTTATTTCGAGAATTGGCGTTAAATTTGTGTGAAATGAAGCCTAGATTGTGTTCTAGATTTTTGATTTGATTGATATGCATAGGTTGAGTAATCTTTTTAAGTTTATTAGTTTAAAGCTTGGATATAGGCAGGTTTCTGATCGATATTTGCAACGTTTGAAAATAGGGAGAAGTAGAGATACTGGTAGGGTACTAGGGGGCATACATCATGATCAAGCGGGTGCCAAGTAGGAACCAGAGAACCAAAGGAATCAAGGTGAGGCATGTTCTGCAGATCTGTCTGCTGCTTGGGGTGTGCTTTTGGTTAATCTATCAGGTCAAGCATTCCCATGATAAGAAAGTGGCATTAGATAAGAAAGATGAAAAAACCCCAACCAGAAGCCTGAGTGAAGGTGAACTTCTGAAACTTGGGAGGAAAGACCTTCCAAAACTTGAAGTCCCTAAAAATGAGAAACAAGAGGAAGAGGATGAAGTTGAAGGAGCAGGAGAGGAAGACGAGAAACATCAAGTAGATGTGCATGAAGAAGAGGATCCGAAACATGAAGTAGAAGCACATGAAGAAGAGGATCAGAAACATGAAGGGGAAGAGCGAGAAGAAGAGGATCAGAAGCATGAAGTAGGAGAGCAAGAAGAAGAGGATCCGATGGGTAAGCAAGAAGAAGAGGATCTGAAGCATGAGGTGGAAGAGCAAGAGGAGGAAGAAAACAGGAATGAAGAGACAGAGGATGAGGAAAGAGGAGCTGGAGATGATGAGATAGATGAAAATGAGCAAGAGGGAAATGAAGTGGAAGTGGAGCACGATGAGGATTTTGTAGATGAAGAGAAAGAAAGAGAAGATGATGGGAATGAGAAGGATGGTGAAAAGAAAGACGGTGAAGAGAGAGAGGATCAAGAAGAACATGAGAGTTCATCAGATGATCAAGATAATGAAACCCATGATAAGAATGCTCATGAAGCACGAGAGGAGAATTACAAGGGGGATGATGCTTCTAGTGCAGTGGCCCATGAAGTTACAAGCACTGAAACTGAGAAAGTAAGTTCGGAAAACTTAAATGAGAACCCAGAAGCTACTATGCTAGAAAAGGACAATTCAACAATGGTGGAAGATAGAATGGCTGAAAATGGTACTATTTTAAATGTAGGTGCAAGTGAAGAGAAAGTTAATGGTAATATGGCCAATCCTGCGGAGAGCTCACTTTTACATGAAAAAGTGAAAACACAATCAAATGATGAACCAGAAGCATGGAATAACTCAACAATGGTGAGTGCCGAAGCTAACGATAATTCAACAATAGTGAGTACAGAAGCAAGCAATAACCCTACAGAAACCAACCAGGCAACTGGTTCATACCAGCAGAACGGTACAGAGATCGTATCTGAGTCAGCTCACTCTGAAATTGCGACAGTGGATGGTATGAGTACTGGAGAAAGCGTGGACATACAAACCATGGTTATGGAACAGGCTAACAACACAGCTTCTCAGAACAATGAATCTGACTCAAATTCAACAATATCCACTAAAATTGAGAATGCAGATGGGGCATTGGGAGAATCATCTTCCTTCTCTAATAAGGTAGCGACTAACATGTCAGAGAATATCTTAAGATCTGATGGAACAGTTGAAACAGAGGGTGGTTCTAGATCTTCATCGTTAAAGGAGGCCACAGATGCCATTCAGAATGAAGAGTCTAATGGTACAAGTGAATCGGACAGGACAGATGAAGGTTCAGACTCCACAAATGGGACACAGGACGCAACTCAGCGAGATTCAATTGATTCTTCTGATTCCCATATCACCCAAGAAAAGAAAGAGGTTCGCACGGATCTAACTACATTGCCGGAGATAACAACCAAGGGGAATGAGAATGGAGAGGCTGCAGCAGAATGATGATCGTTGTCTTTGGTTTCTTCTGGCGCTTGATGTTTTCATGCTTGCCTTTGCAAAGCAACTAGGTTAGTTATTGTGAATTTTAATCTACGGCTAGAAAATCAATATAGCTGTTAAAACATTGGCTAGTTTATATCACCCGCAGGTTTAATCTGTAATACTAAATCCAACCGTCTGCTGTGCTGTTTATTTGCACTTTTGTCTTTCTTTTCATTTATTCTTTTATTTGCACCTTTGTCTTTCTTTTCATTTATTCTTTTTATTTGCTGTTCGTGTAAGTTGTAAGCTCCTGGGACAAAGCTTGTGACGCTTAAATATGAAATGAATTGTTGATCCAAGTTGAAAATTTGGATGTCATTTGAATCGGAAAAAATATGTAAATTGTTTGCTAGAGTTTTGTCGAATGGTTTGTGTTTTGTTGATGATGCTGAAGAAATATGTTTACTCTCTTAAGCAACTCTGTCGTGTTTGGTAATGCTAAAGCATTCTTCTGTTAAGCCTTTGTTTTGGAAGCAGTTCCCTTTTACCAGACGCTGTTTTTTCGCCGGACGCTATGAAACAAAAACTTCTTGGTCTGTTGTATAATTCGTGGTGCGTATTGGTGTATAATTAAGTTTTGGTTTGACAGCAATCACTTTTTTGGAGTGTCAATAATAGCTCCTTCAGTTTACTTTCGCTTTGGCTTATAAAATGATGATGTGGTATGCGAGCCCGCTGCACCAGATTCATGGGATGAGATTGCTTGTTGGATGGCAAAAATATTCAACTCTCATGTCAATTTGTACGCCAATGTGCACCACCTAGCATATATTTGACCAAGCAAAAAGCAAGCAAGCATGTCCTGTATCTTAGCCTGACGTTGACTGCAACATTTCTAAAGATGTCAAAATATCCAAATAAGCAACAGTAAAAGAAGCAGCAACAATATTTTTCATCCGAGAAGCTAAACGTGATATGGTATGACATGAAATGACATCTCTTCTTTATGCTGTCAAATTTGACAACAGCGTCAAATTTTTTTAATTAATTATTAAATACTTTTTATTAATTTTTTTATTGGTCTAAAGTCTAGCCTTTTAATTGTTTTTCATTACCAATGCAATGTTTAAACATTTTTGTACCTTTTAATTCATTTTCTTTCATTACCAATACAAAGAAAATAAATATGAAATTGTATTTTATGTTTAAAATTTGACATATCGGGTGGAGAGCAAAACTTTAAAAGATGTCATACGACCATATAAGTTGCCAAATTTAAATTTTATCTTTAAAATTTGACGTCTCTGGAGATGATCTTAGCTGTCAACGATGTCAGCTTTCTTACAAGATACTGAAAACCTTTCTTGAGGCACTTTAATTGAAGAAGCTAAACCCCGCGAACATACATGCACCTTTGTAGTTGAAGACAGCCGGACTTTCAAACTCGACAAGAAAACAAGCCAAACTCCCTCCAACCTTCCAACGGCTCGAACTCGCTTGCATTATTGCCCTCACAGCAGGAGGTAAATTTACAATCAGAACTATACGGAGAAAGCCGAGGCAGGAGGTAAATTTACAAGACACTTAATCAACTTATGCGGAGAAAGCCGAGGCAGGAATCAGACACTTCATTCTGATTTTAACACAGGTTGCGCTTGATGTGCATTCCATTGCAGCAGCATCCAAACTATAGACGTGCCTGATCAAGACCAGAACAAAATTCATCGGACATTGCTTTGTTATTCAGTTCAACATGAAATAAGCAATCAGAACTATACGATGTTACCATAAGACAGTAAATCAACCATCGACCAAGTCTTTCTAGGAAATCCAAACGCTATTTTTCATAAAATATCATAGCATATAAATAGTTTGCGAACAGTTGAAAGACGAATATAGATTTTATTTCCAATTGAAATATTTCTCTGAGATAGCTTGTGAATGAGAACGCAAGATTCTAATCTTGCTCTCTCTTAAAAAGTGCTCGCAGATCAAATTTTTTTAATTTATATATATATATATATATATATACATATTTTTTTCCAACTCCGCCTATGTAAGTTTATCTTACATTGCTGGTCCCAAGCCTGGATAAAGGAGGAGGGGGAGGGCATCGGGTAGTCGAGAGCTGGCACTCCTAGGTTACGTCGAATCCTTATGAAAATGAATCCATAATGAAATCGCGCTAAAGTTAGGGCGTCACCCATAAGAGGCACGCTGTGTGGCCCGAGCACAGTGATAAGTAAGGGTCGCTGTATCTCTATCGGCACCTAGATGCAGTGTGAAATGAGCAAGGGGTTCATAGAAACTTCTTTTTGAATGACTCCACTCAAAGTTGTTTGAGAGCATATGCTCCTATCAACTTTACACAGGACACACAAAAGAAGTACTTTGATCCTATTAGATGGGGGAGGGTGAAGAAGGTAGGACAAAAGTGTAGAGTTCAAGAGAGTAGAATGCGTTTAGGAACATGGAATATAGGAACCTTAATGGGAAAATCTATGGAAGTAGTGGAAGTTATGGTGAGGAGAAGGATAAGAATTATGTGCCTACAAGAAACTAAGTGGGTCGTCTTAAGGAAAAGGATATAGAAAACTTAGGTTTTAAAATTTGGTATTCGGGCACAAATAGAACGAGAAACAGTGTTGGCATCATCATGGACAAGACCTTGACACAAGATGTTGTAGATGTCAAGAGGGTATGAGATAGAATTATGGCAATCAAGATTGTAATAAGACAAGAACTCATCAATGTGATTAGTGCGTACGCACCTCAAGTAGGGTTGGATACGAGTTTCAGGAGAAATTTTGGGAAGATCTTGGAGACTTGGTGCAAGGAATTGCCCAGACGGAGAAGGTATTTATAGGAGAAGAATTAAATGGACACGTGGGTAAGGAGATAGGCAACTATGGAGGTTTTCATGGTGGCCATGGTTTTGGGGAGAGAAACGAGGATGGGGAGGCCATCTTGGATTTTGCAATGGCATATGATCTCTTCTTAGCCAACAATTTCTTTAAGAAGAGAGAAGAACATGTGATCACCTACAAAAGTGGGTCGTCAAAAACACAAATAGATTTTCTTCTAATGAGGAAAGGGGATCGTATAACTTGTAAGGATTGCAAAGTTATACCAGGAAAGAGCTTGGTTAATCAACATCGCTTGTTGGTGATGGATGTACATATCAAAAGAGAGAGAGAAAAGAACAAGACCTGGAAGTGCTCAAGGACCAGATGGTGGAATCTAAAGGGAGAAAAACAAGCCATTTTCAAAGAGAAAGTAATCACCCAATGCGTGTGAGATAGAGAGGGGGAAGCTGGCCAAAGGTGGGATTCCATGGCTAGTTGTATCCAAAAAGTAGCAAAAGAGGTATTAAGAGAGTCGAAGGGCTTTGCTCCACACCAAAAGGAATCTTGGTGGTGGAATGAGGAGGTACAAACAAAGGTGAAGGCTAAGAAGGAATGTTGTAAAGCCTTATACAAGGATAGGACCGATGAAAATAGTGAAAAGTATAGAATAGCGAAGCAGGAAGCGAAGAAAGCTGTGAGAGAAGCTAAGCTAATGGCTTATGACGATATATAAGCGACTAGATACCAAAGAAGGAGAGTTGGATATCTACAAACTAGCTAGAGCAAGGGAAAAGAAGACAAGGGACCTAAACCAAGTGAGGTGCATCAAGGATGAGGATGGAAAGGTTCTTGCTACAGAGAACGCGGTCAAAGACAGATGGAGAGGTTATTTTCATAATCTTTTCAATGAAGGACATGAAATGAGTACTTCTTTAGGGGAGTTGAGTAACTCAGAAGAGTGTAGAAACTACTCCTTTTACTGCCGAATCAGGAAGGAAGATGTGGTTGTAGCTTTGAAAAAGATGAAGCATAGAAAAGCAGTGGGCCCAGATGATATACCAATCGAAGTGTGGAAAGTCTTGGGAGAGACGGGTATAGCATAGCTCACAAACCTTTTCAATAGGATTTTGAAAATGAAGAAGATGTCAAATGAGTGGTGAAAGAGCACTTTGGTGCTTATCTACAAGAATAAGGGCGACATACAAAATTGCATGAACTATAGGGGTATTAAGCTAATGAGTCATACAATGAAGCTCTGGGAGAGAGTCATTAAGCATAGACTGAGGCAAGAGACATGGGTTTCGGACAACCAATTCAGGTTCATGCCAAGGCGCTCAACCATGGAGGCAATCTATCTCTTACGAAGATTGATGGAAAGATATAGAGATAGGAGAAAGGATTTACACATGGTCTTTATAGATTTGGAAAAAGCATATGATAAGGTCCCAAGAAACATTCTTTGGAGGATTTTAGAGAAGAAAGGAGTACAAGTAGCATATATCTAAGCTATAAAGGATATGTATGATGGAGCAAAGACTGCCGTAAGAACTCATGAAGGACAAACCGAAAGCTTCCCATAACTGTAGGGTTACATCAAGGCCAATGTTTAAAAAGGCGCGCCTCGCCTAGACGGCTTTGGAGGTGGGGCAGGAGTGATAACTCCTATACCCAGTGGGAGTCGGCGGAATGAGGAGGTACAAACAAAGGTGAAGGCTAAGAAGGAATGTTGTAAAGGCTTATACAAGGATAGGACCGATGAAAATGGTGCAAAGTATAGAATAGCGAAGCAGGAAGCGAAGAAAACTATGAGAGAAGCTAAGCAAGTGGCTTATGATGATATATAAACGACTAGATACCAAAGAAGGAGAGTTGGATATCTACAAACTAGCTAGAGCAAGAGAAAAGAAGACAAGGGACCTAAACCAAGTGAGGTGCATCAAGGATGAGGATGGAAAGGTTCTTGCTACAGAGAACGCGATCAAAGACAGATGGAGAGGTTATTTTCATAATCTTTTCAATGAAGGACATGAAAGAAGTACTTCTTTAGGGGAGCTGAGTAACTCAGAAGAGTGTAGAAACTACTCCTTTTATCGTTGAATCAGGAAGGAAGATGTGGTTGTAGCTTTGAAAAAGATGAAGCATAAAAAAACAGTGGGCCCAGATGATATACCAATCGAAGTGTGGAAAGTCTTGGGAGAGACGGGTATAACATAGCTCACAGACCTTTTCAATAGGATTTTGAAAATGAAGAAGATGCCAAATGAGTGGTGAAAGAGCACTTTGGTGCTTATCTACAAGAATAAAGGCGACATACAAAATTGCATGAACTATAGAGGTATTAAGCTAATGAGTCATACAATGAAGCTTTGGGAGAGAGTCATTGAGCATAGATTGAGGCAAGAGACATGGG